CCGTCACAATGTTTCAGATTATTTTTCTTGTCGGCTAAATTATCTCAGTGACATGTATGATTTGTCATTATATGATAATAAATATTTCCTATGGCATGATCACATTTATTCACGTCACTCATATAAGCGTATCGTCTGATAAACTACTTCAGACTTCGTAAGATAAATAATATACTTCAGACGTACTTAAGATTACATATGTATTAAATTTGCGATTGTGTCTAAGCATAAGAAAGTGATTATTTAAAATTTGAATGCATTGTATAATCTTTTAACGCCTCTGTGGTCTGGTGGCCAGCGTTCCTGGCTACAGATCCAGAGGTCTGGGTTCGATTCCCAGTGCTACCAGATTCTTTTCTGAGAAGTAATGGGTCTGTAACGGGGTGCACTCAGCCTCGTAATGAAAATTGAGGAGCTATTTCAAGGAAATAGCGGCTCCGGTCTAGAAAACGGAAATTAACGGCCGTGGGGATTCGTTGCGCTGACAACGCGACACATCCTCTATCCGCAAAAGTTGGTACTAAACTTTGCCGACAAGCGGCGGCCGCTCGGTCGGTATAGCTCGCTTGCGGACTAAAATAACGGAGTTCTTTCTTTGTATAAGCTTTATAAAATCAAGTAAATATCGAGACACCCTTAAGACGTAAGCCTATTTGTAATATTGTTGAGTATTATTTTTCTTTCAAGACAATCCATATTAACCTCTCAGTAAGATTGCCGTTAAGACCAATAATTATATTTCAAAGAACCAAGTTCGTGGAATGCTTTAACTGATTATTTCTGTATTGAATAATCATGTCCCATATACTTTGTATTCGTAGTTCTATTCTTGTATCTTCGTTGTATTTTTACCATATATTATGTACCTAATCAGAAACATCTGGAAAGTTTCGAAATGTGGTGTTGGAGAAGGATGGAGAAGATCAGTTGGACCGATTATGTGAGAAATGAAGAAGTGTTAATTAGAGTCAGTGAGCAGAGGAATATCCTACACGAAATAAGAAAACGGAAGGCTAATTGGATTGGTCATGTTTTACGCAGAAACTGCCTTCTAAAAGAAGTTATCGAAGGAAAGATAGAGGGGCGGATAGAAGTGACAAGAAGACGAGGAAGAAGACGTAAGAAGATGCTGGATGACCTTGGGGACAGAAGAGGATACTGTCATTTGAAGGAGAAAGCTCTAGATCGCATTAAATGGAGGAATTGTTTTGGAAGAGACTGTGGACCTGTCTTCTTGACAGATTACTGATGATGATGATGATTATGTACCTTGCCACTATTCTCAGGTACCGCTCAGTCTGTCCTTCCGTCCATCCATCCATGTGCTTGAAGAACATGAGATACTTTACACGGTTTTCGTGAGACTGGATATTTGAAAATTTTATGAAACATGGTATAAAGTTCTCCTTAAACATTTATCGATAGGAAAAATATTGTCACGTGTCCGGGGTTCCGTGACAAATAATTGTGGATTCCGGAGTAGGCGAATCTGTGTTATTGGATAACTCGTTCGCAATCATAATTACAGTCAGTTACAGTTAGCGTCTTCCAGACGATGCGACCTGACTAGTACGTCATCTCTGATCTGGTCTTCGCTGATCTCACTTCCGCTTCTCTCTATGTACTCTTCACTAACGCACTCGGTTTCATAACTGCTTGTTGTACCGACTAGGGAACACCATCTCCAAGGGTTCCTATTTCGCCTCTTCTGATGCAACGGTCTGCAGTATATTGGTTGCCGCGAGAGATGAAACGGTTCGGTAACCGTTACCTAGGAAATTCCTACGCGAAGCTCCGCTCAGCAGGTGGGGGATCAGACTTTCAGGCGTTGCGTCACAATATATACGAATATCAGATGTTGTAGAAGAAATCAGACACATTCTTCATAAGTCTTAAGGTTTCCAATACAAATATACGCAATTTATATTACCAGTACATTTTCGAAGCTGCCTATTCAACTGGTAACCATGGCCTCCTGAACGTGATCGCAGTTAACAAAGCGAACGTTTGTATAAAATTTATACTATTTTGAAATCAGATTTATTTTAGTCTTTCACTGAAATATTCTGTTACAGTATGATTTTGAGGCATATATTAAACACTTTATATATTAATATATTTCATTTTCGTTCAGTGCGTGCAATAACAGTGAAAATTGAAGCTTAAACATCGATTATTTGTTCATTCATCTGCATAATTTTATCTTCTCGCAAATTTTACTACCATAAGTAGGCTTATCACCAAACAGTGAATAACTGCATGTAAATTTATTATCCTTTATTAAGCACAAGGGAGCTATCTTTCTAAACTTAATAATTTGTTTTATAATTCCTTCTGCCGAATGACCTGTGTAGTGTTTTACAGTTCTGTTAATAACTAAATGATAACTCTTCATAGTCGCCGCTGTGAGGACCTCAAACCCAACCTTGTTAAGATCGAGTTTTCGCTACCATACAACAACCCTGAGATTATGATTACTTGCAAATCGGCACACTTTCCTTTCTTGCTTTCCCGTGCAATGATCGCTTCCGACTTCTGGAGAAACAGTACCGATATAAATATATTTAATTTCTTTTCTACGTCTTTGCTTTCCACACAATAGGCTTCACAACCAAATATTTTAAATGATTACTTGATCAATTACTTGTCTTCCTATCATTATATTGGTTATAGTAACATTATTCCTACAAATGGCATCATCTTGGTCTTCTTTTGAGAGAATTCTCACACTAAATTCTTCCGTAATACTATGTGTTAAGTTTAAATATTGTTCGCTGAAGCTTATTCTCAGATTGGGCTGTTGCTATAGGTCATCTGCAGAAGCAGTGTTTTGAAGTTAATCAACAAATATAGAGGATTGTTGGAGGTGTGTTATAATTAATTCATCAATTTATTCATTCATTCTTCAGTAATCTGTCAAGACGACAGGTCCACAGTCTCTTCCAAAACAGTTCCTCCACTTAATGCGATCTAGAGCTTTCTCCTTCAAATGAGAATATCCTCTTCTGTCCCAAAGGTCATCCAGCATCTTCTTACGTCTTCTTCCTCGTCTTCTGGTCACTTCTATCCGCCCCTCTATCTTTCCTTCAGTAACTTCTTTTAGAAGGCAGTTACTGCGTAAGAAATTCATCAATATATAAAATAAATAAATTGCGGAAAACAGACTTTCCTGTCTCACACATTGTTGCTTGTCCAATCTGGTATCAGAAATTTTATTTCGTTTAGATACCATTTGAATTGCTCTAAAGAAACAAGCCGGAATTCTTGTTTAAGGAATAGAATAATATTAATTACTCTTCGGTGTCCATCAGCCCGAAACATCTTTAAATCTCACTCGTCCTTAAGGACAACAGGTTTGTTACGGACATTATTTTCATAAATCTGCTTTTTGTTGTGGTCTTCTGGGATATGTCACGGTCTAGTCTGGAAGGTGGGTGTCATCGTTTCGCTATAAACTACTTCTTCGTCTTTAATGTTGAAGATGGAAGCAGTACGATACTTGCATCCTTGTTAACTACCTGAAACACTACGTGGTCCCACAACTCAGAAGAGTACCGTTGCGAAAACCTCATATCTTATAACATTAATTTTATCGTGTAGAATAAATAGATCTTATACATGTGAAGACTGCACTCTGGGCACCATTTTATGTCGATATGACTCGTCCCTTTGCGAAGAGATACTTTACCTCATAAATGGGCACCTGCGCACGGACGCACACAAACGGGGACGAAAATATCCACAGGATACTAATCGTTACAATTTTAAATCTAATATTTTTTTAACATCTGATAGTATGGTGGATTTACTCCAAGATACGGTTGGCGCATACGTGAACAGTCTTTTCCCACATAGGCCTAAATGCAGAAGATGGGTACAGTTCTATTAAAAGTTTTCCTTGTGTTTAAATAATCAAGCACTACGCTATGAAAGCGTATAGGGAGTGGACTTATAGATCAATATTTTCTTGACCTCACCATTAGCTGTAGGTGAATGGACAACTTCACAGCCCGGCCGTTTTACCCCCGGGGAAAAAAGACCCCGGTACACATTGGATAGGAGGATGGGTAGACCCCTGAGCCGGTCTGGACGAGATGGAAAGGACAAAATTCTTGACACTATCGGGACTCGAAATCCCCTCGGTCGTCCAGCCAGTAGCTAGTCGCTATACAGACTATGGTATCCCGGCTCCACATTTCAGTTAAGGCCACGAAAATACATCCCATGGATGATGGGAATGATGTTGCTCGAGGCTTCTGGGTGTCTGTCCACTGATGTATTCTCTGCCAACCTTCTTGGACCTATGTTAACTACTTCTAGGCCACCACCACGGGCACCGCCGGGATTTTTGTCCCGGATGGCAGCCTGAAAATTTGCTTAAAATTTTATATTTAAGCTGGGATCATCTAAGCTTATAACAGTACCAGAAATCTTCCTGGGGTTAAAGGGTGGCCGGGGTGTAATTTTAACAACCTCACTGCCATCTTTGAACCCACTGTTTAGAAAATGTGGGAGCCTCAACTTCTCAGTACTGTGGACCTCCATGTCTTGTTACAGGGATAGCTTTTAAGAATATTTTTATTGCCGTAGAGTCATGAGTCTGCATATTGAAACACACGTAGAAGGGACCAAAAAATGTGTTCAGAATCCTTCAAAATTATGAGTACTATTTGGTATAGTTCCTTCTTTTCTCTCAGTTCTGATTTATTGCAATAATCCGGGACAAGGGAAGATGTCTTGTTTGACCCACCCTCCTGTTGCGTCCATAGTCACTACCACTTCTTTCCACATAATTCTGATGCATTGTATACTAATCTTCGTCTCATTTGTACTCTATAATATGAACTACTGAAGAGCAAAAGAACAAAAACAAACTCCGTGGTTTTAGTCTGCAAGCGAACTATACCGACTGAGTGACCGCTGTTTGTAGGCGTACTGAAGACGCAGTAATAAATAAATAAACAAGACAACAAACTCTAACATTGATTATTCTGTTGCAGGCCGCCCAACTGTTGCTTGCGTCACTTGTTCTTCACAGCATTACATCTGGAAACCAGCTGGAGCACCATTCTAGAGGTGACATTTCGCCTGAGTCTGCTCTATACAGAAGTTTGGAACTACCATGATAAAAGCCAATTGTTTGTTTGTACAGTGATCCATATTTTGTTTTCTGTTGTTTAAGACCTGCAGCATAGAAGACAGTACAGCCAGGTCTTGAAACAACAAACCCAGTTTTTACGACTTCCATGTTCATGCGGGGGCAGTGACTGTGGGTGCTGTGCCACTCTGAGTGTCCCACCTCTGGATTTCAATCAGCAAGGCAGGTCTTACAGTTTTAGTTGAGAGTTTCCTCAATGTGTGATGGCTCTACAAAAATACTGAATTCCATTCCCATGATGGAAATATTGAATGATTTTATAGTATTAAATGAACCTAATGCTCTCAGGATGTGTCCAACTCACATATGTTCCCGAGGACCTAGGAGTGGATTTGGATGTGCTTCTGAACGGTAACAAACTCTACCATACCTCTTTGTCAGGTAAGACTGCTCAAACTGTTCTGCATGGCTGTTTCCAACATTTTCATTTCAAGTTAACATGCGCTACTAAAAACTACAACTTGTACTGTTAGCCATATATAATTAGAATGATGAGGTCAAGAAGAATTAGATGGGGCAGGGCATGTAGCACACATAGGGAGAAGTGGAATCCATATATTGTTTTGGTGGGAAAGTCAGGAGGAAGGAGGCCACTAGGAGGACCTAGAAAGAGGTGGAAGAATAATATTAAAATGGTTGCTAGAGAGATAACATGGGGCAGTATGGACTGTATTGATCTGGTTCAGAGTAAGGACAAGTGGATGCCTCCTGTAGTCAAGGCAATTCACCTTCAGGTTCCACAAAATTTTCTTCAGAAATCCTTGAGTAGCTGTCCAACTAGTGGTTTCTGAAGATGGGTTCGGGTCCATGGATGTAGTTATATTTACTAACCACAATTCATGGCAGTGTTGTATTAAATGTAGTAATTACATTTGCAGCCAGGAATCCTCCCCCTTTCTGCGTTGGAACAGGTGTGCCCCTGCTTAACCTATGTGTCCGTCTATACAACATCCGGGTTCAAAACAACAATGTGCACGTGTGCATCAACTTGGAGTTGCAGTTTGCAAGCAGACCTCTCATTGTTGTCTCTTTTGACTGCATCCGAGTCGGTGTTGATGGGGTTGGTATTGAGAAGCCTTCCACTTCACGTGTTGTGAGCCCTGACCCAGTCAGAGGCAAGCATGCAAAAACAATTGTAAGTTTGACCCCATGGACATTATCATCATCATCTGCACATATATCACCAGGAATTTTGACTGGAATGAGTGATCTCAGGAGCCACCTGCTCATCATATGGAAACCATACCTTAACATGACATGAATATGTTAGCATCATTTTTAGATTGTAAGTATTCCATCTGTAATGGAACAAAGTCACCTTTTATAAAAGACGCTAAAATATCCATGATTTATTTTATCCGTCTTCTAGTGCATACATTTATTTATCCCCTCTTTTCACTCTCACTACATGTTTCGGCACCAATGTGCCATCTTCAGGTGCTGATCCAATCCACCACAAACTAATTCATTGCATGCC